GTTCGTCGGTCGTACCGTTGGTAGGTCTATCTGTCAATCTGTCCATTAATCGCACGCAATTGGATGCTAAACATAGCGAAGCATGTGAATGGCATGCTAACGCTAAGAACCTGAATTCGAATCCCAGCATAGATAAAAAATTGCAGTTTGGAGACATTTTTGCAGTTTCAAGTTTTGTTGTAATACTGCATAGCTGTTACAATGAATACGAGAAAATCTGTGCCGATGTAGCACCACTACTTTAAATTGTTGTTTGTTTCGCAGGTAAAGTTTATATAATGGTTTTAAAAATGTCTATTTGTTGGTCGAGAATTTATTGAAATCATTCAAGAAGTCGGCGCGCTTCAAGCCATCGGAAACCCCTATGAGAATTTTTCGATATAATTTTGGTTTTTGTAAACGAAGCAAACAACATGAAAAGATCGTTTCATTCTTTTTGTATCACTATCAGACATTGCTTCGTGAATCAAGATCTGACTTTGAACTCCATTGCTGTGTGTGATGCAACTTTTTGACTATACCTTTGTGTGGTGTTCCGTGTAGTTGCAAAGTTGCAACATGCCTCTTGCATAATTAACCTCAATGTACAACAGGAAAGTACTCACCATAAAAATAACACACAAGAAAGGTCTAATAATTACAAAAACACAAAAATAATTGCTTACAATTTACATTCTTCTTACGAAGCATTTACACGGGTTAGGTTAAGAAAGGTTAATGCCCCCCTTTCCTTAGCTGGCGAGGTCAACTTCCATTTTGTTGAGAAACGAAGAAAAAGAAGGACCCTCCCCAGAACTAGCTCGAAGCCATTCATTATCAAACTGCACTATTCGGCGGGATAGTAACGGGGAGAGGGAGAAAAATGACAAACTAATCGCATTTCCGGTGTTAGAAACTTTCCACACCTTGTGTTCTTAAACTTTTTATTTTCTAAGTTTATTGCTTACGAAATCCTCCGCCGACCGAGAAACACTAAATTGTTTGAATTCTTCTCTTACACAATTTTATCGTGTTGGACGTGATAAAAATAGTATTGGGACACAGTTTATCATGTTGTCCGTAGCTAACCGACTAAGATGAATGCAAGAGAGAACAATGCCCTCGAGAAAGAAATGTATGGCTTGTTTTTTGCGACATGTAAGGTATTTTACGGGTGATTTTGCCTGTATCTTTCGACAAATTGAGTATTTGTTTTTAACATGAACCCGGAATTACAAGGGGAAACAGAGGCGAGTTATTCACACACGAAAATGTTTGCTCACTCGCAATTAATCAGATGAACCTTAATGCCCCCCGTCCTTTCTCTAAAGACACATGCCTTTCATAATTTAATCGCGACATTTTTTTGTAGTATTGTGCAGCAGGATTTATGAGCTGCCCGATTGGAACCACAAAGTATCATGGACATCGTCACCTTCCTCATCCTGAGCCTTACGTTGGTGCGAAATAGGAATGCGACATCGATGCTGATGATTTCAAAACATCGATGTTTCAATAACACTACCGATGTTTTAAACATCGATGTATTGAAGTAAATGTTGTTTTTGAACATCGATGTTTTGTGAACAGTGATTTTGCACGGGCAACATGAACGCGGTTTGCACTACCTTCATCGAGCAGACTATGCCTCGTCCGAGATTATCTTGATACCCCGGTATATCCTTTGTTTATCTTGGTATTTCGCACACTGATAGGCGTTTTTTATACTTTCAGATACATTTTAATTTCAAATTAAAATACACGCCTACTATCAGATTAAATTTTGTTGCGCACGAATGTAATGCGAATGCGAAACGACGGCGCGAGGCAGCGGCGCGGGCGCGGATGTTCTGTTCCAGCGCGGAACGCAAATTGGCTCCCCCTCCGGCGCTCTCTGTTTTGCTTTCCGCGGCCGCTCCTCCAGCCTCCGACGCGAGCGGCGACTCAACATTGCATTTAAGCACTGCCGCCGCGAGGGTCAGTGCTGCCAAGACCGTTCTTCCCATAGGGGAAAATTGTTCGCAACAAAACGGCGGACATCGGGGTGGGGGGTTTTGTGGAGGAATACTTTCCATGGGTTATATGATTGGTTTTATGCGTTTGTTTTATAAAGTTTGTTAGCTGTCCGTCTCCTGCTGTACTGAGAGCTTAGATGTGAGAAATGAGAACTTGCAAAATACCTTCGATTTGTTAAGTGTGTACAGGACATAGTATGGGGGGAAGTTATAATCTTACCCTTCTTCGTCTTATTCTTCTATTCTTCCTAGTATTTATATTCCTTCCCTTCCTCTTCCATCTCCTCGTCGTTCTTCTCCTTCGCCTCTTCTCCCCCCCTCGTTTTCTTTTTTTACATTTTTCCTTTCTCTTCCTCTCATCTGTCCCCCTCCTACTCTTCTCTCGATCCCTTTTTCACTCTGCTTCTCCTATTCCCATCTTTTATAGTCTTTACTGCGTCCTATGTCCTCTTCTACTTCTCCTCCTTGTCTACCTTCTAATTCAGCTCGTCCTTTTAGCTTTCCTTATTCTACTTCGTCTCCTCTTCTTTTTTCATTTGCTCTTTCTGCTCTTCTCATTTTTCATTCTCGTACTTTTTCATCTTTTTCCTCTCTCTTCTCCCTTTTTCATTTTCTACTTCTGCCTCTTTCTGATTCTTTTTCTCCTCCCTCGTATTTCCCTTCTCCCCCTCCCACCATCTTCTATTACACTCCATCTAATGTTACACTGTGGTGACAAAAGTCAATATGCAAATATACAGATGTCAGTAGAATAGCGTACAAAGGGTAGTGCTTTGGTAGAGCCCTACTGAAGTGATTAATGTGAAAAGGTTTCTGACGTTAGACGCACGATGAGAATTACAGACTTTGAACATGGAATGGTAGTTGCGGTTAGATGCATGGTGCATTCCATTCCGGAATCAGTAGGGAATTCAATATTCCGAGATTCACAGTGTCAAGTTTGTGCCAAGAATACCTAATTTCAGGCATAACTTCTCACCGCGGACAAATTAATGGCTTCACTTAATGACCGAGAGCAGTGGCATTTGTGTAGAGTTGTCAATGCTAACAGACAAGCAACACTGCGTGTCATATCCCAGAAATCATGGTGGGACGTACGACGACCGTATCCGTTAGGATAATGCGGCAAAAATTAGCTTTAACCGGCCAAGGCAGCAGAAGGCCGACTCGAGTGCCTTTGCTAATAGCACATCACCTGCCGGGCCTCCCCTACGTGACTGGATAACCGTGGCTTGGTCAGACGAGTTCCGATTTTAGATGGTAAGAGCTGATGGTAGAGTTCGAGTGACGCGCAGGCCCCACGAAGCCATGGACATAAGTTGTAAACAAGGTAGGTGTGCAAGCTGGTGGTGGCTCCATACTGGTGTGGGCTATTTCTACGTGCAATAGACTGGGTCCTCTGGTCCAAACGAAGCGATGATTGCCTGTAAATTATGTTCAACTACTTGGAGACCTTTCGCAGCCACTTAGGAGCTTCGTGTTCCAGAAAAACGATGGATTTTTTATGGATGACATGCGCCATGCCACTGGGCCACAATTGTTTTGCGATAGGTTTGAAGACCATTCTGGGCAATTACAGCAAACGTTTTTGCCACTCAGATTGCCAGACATGAATCCCAAGGAACATTTATGGAACTTAACCTTTTCTGCCTGAATTATTTTAAAAAATCCTACCTCTATTATTTAATTTTTTAAAAAATTCTCAACATTTTGAAATGCACATGAAGACACTTTTTGTTAGGTTAAGATTGTTAAGTTATGGATGGTATAGAAAGCAGCATGAAGTCCTAATTGCATTACTGCAAGATTTTAATGTGAAAGTTTGAACTACCTACAGCTTGGAACCGAATGCCTGTACGAGCACGCTAGGCAGATAAGGGATAAGGATAAGTGGAAAGAGGTCAGTTCGTGCACAAAATCCAGCACTGGCAACACTCTGGCCATTACGGACGGCTACAGAGGCAGCAGGGCTTAATATTTGTGCAGGAGATTCCAACGACCTGTTGAGTCCATGCGTCTAGTTGCTACACTTCGTCGGGCAAAAAGAGGTCCGAGTCAACATGAGATCCCCATGACTTTTGTCACCTCAGTGTATCGTCGCATCAATTGTACAACAAGTCCCTACAACAAGAAAGCGTATAACGCAGCAAGTCAAGAGGGTTGCCTATTAAAATAGATGACGGCGATCGCGGTGCTAAAGTAATATTAAGAGATCAACCATGATTGATTTGCCATGCATATTTTGGCATATTACAGCTCACATTTACGTTGGAAACCTGTAAATGAGCTACTGCTTTTGAGAATATGGTTACAATGATTTCGATAGCGAATTCATTAAATTATCAGTAATTCAAACGAAATCACTGTGATGATTTTGGTGTGACATGTATTTATACAAGAACAACAACCGCTTTTGTATTTTTAAAATGTCTCAAAAATGTTGTGTCACTTTTCAATTCCCGTGTCACCATACTCTTTTATATGTGCCTCATATTTTGAATTATCATTCAAAATTAACAGTCACCCAATTTGTTTTGAATGTCGTGGAACAGCGCCCTTTTTTACATTTCACACGAACCTCTGAGCGTCTAATGTGCATTAACTGTCTCTAACTATCTCTATCTCTAAAGTACATTAACTGTATCTCTAACTCTATCTCTAAAGTGCATTAACTCTAACTACCTCTAAAGTGCATTAACCGCGTAAATCGGTCGTGAGATTTCCTCTTTTTTAGTAACAATAAGCAACGCGATGATTGATGCGGAAATAGGGCCAAAAAAGTAATCTGGGAAACCGTATTGCGGTTAAGTGATGTTTTTATCTCCAGTTTTTGGCAGAGGCGCTTGGCATCGTTTATCCCTGTCCGATTCGTTCCAAACCGGTTTCCTCGAAAAGGCGTTTTAGATTAATTTAAAACAAGAATATTACTGAAAAATATTGAGTTATTTGCACATTTGCTAGCGTGTCTTCTAATTCAGTCTTAACGGTTTCATATTATTTTATCAGTATCAACTTTTTTAAGTTTTATTTTACAATTAATTTCATTACGTGTGTGCATTTACATTTCTTGCTTCGTGCAGGCATTATACTACATAGGTTCGTAACCTTTCGTATATTGTCTGAATGCGGATATGATTGGATATAAAGAAAATTATGTACATTGTCCATATATTTCTGTTAATTGGATTGTTGGTGAAGTAGATACCTTTTTATTATGATAAATAAATAAGATATTGTCAGGTATCAATATCTTATTTATTTATCATATATTTCTGTCATTGTGTGGTTGGCATTGTGGGTGAATTTATTACACGAACTTTTGTCAATAGATGCAAATAAAAAAAAATTCCTAAATAACACCTAACGAACAATTTTTCTCTCTCCTTTCATATTCATTAGACGAGAAGGTAATAATAGAACAGGTACCAAAACGTAATGTAATATTTGGCATAATTTAATACAAAAAATGACGAATGGCAAAAAATATTTTTTTTCCAAGAGTTTGAATAGGGTTCACGCTATTTTCTTTTGCTGCTTCTAAGGCAAATAAGTTAATGTATTCTGTCTCAGGGTCCTGTATTAGCAACGAGGACTTAATCACCCTGTATACTGTACGTGTTTCTCCAGTATTCATAAGGTTTCTTAGTAAAATATGTAAATTATTTTCGTGTTGTATAAGAGTATTTCAATTGTTGTTTTTGGACGTGTGTGCTACATTTTGGAAAACATTTTTGTGTTGGTTTGTTCAGCATCATTCTTACTGCTGCAAGCCACTAGTTTTAACTAAAAGTACTAATGGGAGGATAATCATAAACTTATGAAAGATGCTTTGTGGAATTTAACAACTTACCTGTCAAATACTACATTATGGGATGTTATGTACT